TATCTGCTGCAAATCTATCGCACGCGGTGGAGATTTGCGATGCACGTAATGCATTTGCGTGTCCGCCACACGGCGCTCTACAAGCTGCCCTGGAATCCAAGGTTTACCTAGAGTACGAGCTGGGCATGTTACGTCAACGTCTGTGCGCTGGCTACGCACGGCGTCGTGCACGGCCGGGTCGGCAGCGGTATTCTTCCTGGGGACGGTGTTGCTGGCGAGCGGTTTCTGTTACCATACAAAGAGTGTGTGGATGTGTTTCAGTCTTCTACCCCTTCCATCTGTGTTTCGGTGGTCTGGCTTTCTCGTGCCATTACCGATGCACCGCCCTCGGTCGCCAGTAGCGCTCTTTCTGCAAGCTCGCGCCCCGCTCGACGTTTCGATTGCCACCTGCGCCTGCGACGTCTCGAAAGCCCGCCGATTCACATCGCTCGACACGTCACGCGCACAGGCTCGGTCTACGTCGGCTGCACTTTCTGTGGCCTCTCCTGGAGCTGACGTCGCCCAGAATCCCGACAAGCAGGAATACTTGTTAGCTTTCTGCGGCCGTGCGCTCATGCAGCTACTGGACCCAGTGGATGATCATAAAGAGGAGCCGCCGAGCGCCGGCATTCGAGAACACCGGCCTCGTCTTGCGCACCCCTGTGTGCAAGCTCGACTCCCGGAGGAGGAGGAGGAGGAGGAGGAGGAGGAGGAGGAGGAGGGGGAAGAGTAGAAGGAGGAGAAAGAGTAGGAGGAGGAGGAGCGCACAGCTCGAGGACTGCGCTTTCGGTCAGAGGGGATCGGCGCCGCGTGGCTCCCAAGCCCGGGGCAGGGCAGAGGGGGCTGGTTGACCCCCGTCAGCGCTGACCCGCGCCACGTAAGCTCCTCCTCCTCCTCCTCCTCTCCTCTCCTCCTCCCCCTGCCTCGTCCCCCTCCTCCTCCTCCTCAATCCTCCTCCCCCTCCCCCTCCCCTCCCCCTCCTCCACCTCCTCCCCCTCCTCGCTCCCCCCTCCTCCTCTCCTCCTCCTCCCCTCCTCCTCCTCCTCCTCCTCCTCCTCCCCCTCCTACCGCCTCCTCCGCCTCTCCTCCTCCTCCTCCTCCTCCTCCTCCTCCCCCTCCCCTCCCCCCTCCCCTCCGGCTCCTCCATCCTCTCCTCCTCCTCCTCCTCCTCCTCCTCCTCCTCCTCCTCCTCCTACTCCTCCCAACTCCTCCTCCTCCTCCCGCCCTCCCCCTTTCTTTCTCCTCCTCCTCCCTCCCCCTCACCCCTCTCATCCTCCTCCCTCCCCCTCCTCCGCTCCCTCCCCCTCCTTCTCCTCCTCCTCCCCTCCTCCTCCTCCTTCTCCTCCTCCTCCTCCTCTCCTCCCCCCTCCTCCTCCTCCTCCTCCTTCTCCTCCTCCTCCTCCTCCTCCTCCTCCCCCTCCTCCTCCTCCTCCCCCTCTTCACGGTCCCCCCATTTTTCGGTATTGCCCTCCCCCTCCTTCCTGCCCCCTTTTCCACGAGCTCCCACCGCGCCTCCTTCAGTCTTCCTCATTCCCCCCTGCCCCCGAGGCGAAGAGGCAGCGGCAGAAGCAGGAGGAGCAGCAGCAGAGGAAGGGGGATGAGGACGGGAGGAAAATGATGGAGAGAGTGCGGAACGGACAAGGGCGTGAATGGGAAGGTGGAGCGACACAAAATGGACAAATTGTATGTTTCATAAGTGCCATCGTTCCCAGCACATCCCAGAAAGTAGCGGGGTTCGATACATATCTATACCTATACGACCACCCTTCGGGTGATAAGGAGTTTGTGGGGGGGAAGGGGGGGAACCAACATCTGACTCGATCGATCTCACTATCGATCTCACTCAACGGGACACCACGGGACACCACGGGACACTTGTCGATCTCACTATCGAACTCACTATCGACCTTATTAAACGGGACACCACGGGACACCACGGGACTCCGCGGGACACCACATCGATCTCACCATCGATCTCACTATCGATCTCACGATCGATATCACTATCGATCTCACTCAACGGGACACCATGGGACACCTCGGGACACCACATCGATCTCAGTATCGATCTCACTATCGATCTCACTCAACGGGGCACCACGGGACACCACGGGGCGCCTGTCGATCTCACTATCGATCGCACTATCGATTTCACTCAACGGGACACTACGGGACACTTCGGGGAAGCACATCGATCTTGATATCGATCTCACGATCGATCTCACCCAACGGGACACCACGGGACAACACGGGACACCGCGGGCCCAGTCCCAGCCACCGGCGGACGGGACACCACGGGAAGCCACGGGACACCGGCGGGACACCGCGGGCCCAGTTCCAGCCACTGGCGGACGGGCGCACGGATTTTCGCTCCTACCTCGGCCTAGCTAAAGGAGGATCACGCGCAGCTTCGCCTCGCCCGCACGGACGACACGAACACGAAACCGAAACCGATTTCCCGGTGGGGGGTCTCCGTTTCACTGCAATCTCACCCCTCAACCTCCGATTTTTTATACACATATATATATATATATATATATATGTATATACGTATGCATGCATGCATGTACGTATGTGTCGGAGGTTGGGGGGGGAGATCGCAGTGGAACGGAGACCCCCAACCCAGAAATCTTTCGTTTCGTTCGTTTCGTGCGTGCGGGCGAGGCGACGCTTCGTACGTATGCATGCATGCATGTACGTATGTGTCGGAGGTTGGGGGGGGAGATCGCAGTGGAACGGAGACCCCCAACCCAGAAATCTTTCGTTTCGTTCGTTTCGTGCGTGCGGGCGAGGCGACGCTTCGTGGGCGCGCGAGAGGACTGAACCCGCTGTTGCCAGGGCGAAGTCAAGACAACTGATTTTCCACCGCCCGCCCGCCCGTCCGGTGGTGGCTCGCGGTGTCCCGCGGTGTCCGGTGGTGTCCCGTGGTGTCCCGTGCGTGGTGTCCGCCATTGCTAGGGCGAAGTCAAGACAAATGATGCCCGCCCGCCCGTCTGTCCGTCCGTCCGGCGGTGGCTCGCAATGTCCCGCGGTGTCCCGTGGTGTTCCGTGGTGTCCCGTGGTGTCCCGTGGTGTCCCGTTGAGTGAGATCGATAGTGAGATCGATAGTGAGATCGATTTTGAGACCGATGTGGCCCCCCGAGGCGTCCCGTGGTGTCCCGTGGTGTCCCGTTGAGTGAGATCGATAGTGAGATCGATAGTGAGATCGACAGGTGTCCCGAGGTGTCCCGTGGTGTCCCGTTAAGTGAGATCGATAGTGAGATCGATGTTGATATCGATGTGGTGCCCCGAGGCGTCCCGTGGTGTCCTATGGTGTCCCGTTGGGTGACATCGATAGTGAGATCGATAGCGAGATCGACAGGTGTCCCGTGGTGTCCCGTTGAGTAAGATCGATAGTGAGATCGGTAGTGAGATCGATGTGGTGTCCCGAGGTGTCCCGTGGTGTCCCGTGGTGTCCTATGGTGTCCCGTTGAGTGAGACCCCCGTGGTGGCCCGTGGTGTCCCGTGGTGTCCCGTGGAGTGAGATCGATAGTGAGATCGAGTGACGCAGATATTGTTTCCCCCCCTTCCCACCCCCACAACCTCCTCATTACCCGAAATGCGGTCGTATAGGTATGTGGATGGACGGGTGTCTTTACGTACGTATTGACGTATGTATGCAAATGCATGTACATGTATGCATGCAGGTATGTTTGTATGAATGTACGTATGTATGTATGTATGGAGTCATACATGCAGGCATGCATGTCTGCATGCATGCACTTGTGTATGTATGTGTGTATGTATCAATATGTATGCATGTATGTATGTTGGCGTAAGTATGTATGTATGTATGTATGTATGTATGTATGTATGTATGCACGTGTGTATGCATGTATGTATGCATGCGTGTACAAACGTATGCATGCATGTATGTATGTATGTATGCACAATATATGTATGCATGTATGCCTGTATGGATGGATGGATACACGGATGCATGTGTGTATGAATGCAAGTTCGTTGGTATGTATTGGGGTGTATATCTAGGTGTATCGGTGTATGTTTGTATGTAGTTGTGTATGTGACGAGCATGTGTGCATGTATGTATGTATGCACGTGTGTGTGTATGTATGCATGTATGAATGTATGCATGCGTGCATTGTTGTATGGACGTATGCATGCATGTATGCATGTATGATTGGATGTAACCGTGAAGTATGTATGTCGAGGAATATGTTCGCGCGTGCGCGTCTGGAGCCGTGCATGTCAGCGCCCGCAGTCCACCGTGAAAGTGTGTGCGCATACTTGTGCACACGTTTTGGCACGCCCCGTCGCTTGTGGAAGCACCGCAAGCACTAATCACCGACCCCCGGTATGATGTGCAACAGTTCAATTGACGATTGCAGGCGGTCCTCACGCTCCCGCGTGGCTTGGGCCGCCCCAGCGGTTCGGCTTGTGTTCCGTATTGATATCAGATGTTTCGCCCCAGTTATGCGACGCTTGAACGGCAGAGGACGTGGAGAAGGCGAAAGGGAATGAAAGGGAGGAGGAGAAGGAAGAGGAGAAGGAAGAGGAGGAGGAGGAAGAGGAGGAGGAGGGCGAAGAGGAGGAGGAGGCGGCGAAGGAGGAGGCGAAGGAGGAAGAAGAGAGGAGAAGGAAGAGGACGAAGAGGAGGAGAGGGAAGAGGAAGAGGAAGAGAGGATGAGGAGGAGGAGGAAGAGGACGACGACGAGGAGCGGGAGCTGGAGGAGGAGGAGGAGGTGGAAGTGGAGGGGGAAGAGGCAGAGGAAGAGGAAGAGGAAGAAGGATAGGAGGACTAGGAAATAGGAACAGGAAAGATGAGGCGCAGGAGGAGCAAGAGGAGGATGTCAGGGAGAACAGGAGGACGGAGCAGCAGGAGGAAGACGAAGAGAAGAGGAGGAGGAGGAGGAGGGGGGGGAGGAGGAGGAGGAGGAGAAGCAGAAGCAGGAGCAGCAGGAGCAGCAGGAGCAGCAGGATCAGCAGGAGGAGGAGGAGGAAGGGCAAAGTGCGGCGCGGAGGACGAGTCGGACGGCCGCGTGCGCTTCTGGTTGGGCAAGGAACAGTCGCCTGGAGAGGTCGTCGACCATTTCTACGAAGACGATGCTGGGAGGGGGCGCTTGGGGCGGTCAGACGGGGGGGGGGTTGGCCGCCATGGTCCCTTACGCCAGCGTTCCCCCCTTCTCCTCTCCCTTCCCCCCTCTCCCCCCCTGACACCACCCCCTTTTCATCCTTATCGGGATGTCTGTGTGTGGTCGGGGGTGAGGAGGGGGAGGAGGAGGAGCAGCAGGAGGAGGAGGAGGAGGACGCGCCCCCGACGGGCGTCCAGCGGCAATCCCGTCAGCCTTGCTGTAACAGGTTTCCAGGCTCGTTCGGTCGCTGGCACACCGTCGGGCCTGACATGTGCTTGCATATATATATATATATATATATATATATATATATATAGAGAGAGAGAGAGATGGTCGCCCCCCAGCACCCCCAAACACAAAAAAAACACAACACCTTCACTGATCGTTCGCTCGTCGTCGTCGTCGTCGTGGGGGGTGGTGGAGGACTGCAGTCGGAATGCGACCGTGCGAGGCTGAGCGTGGCTGTCGGGGCGCGCGTCGGCGATGGCGGCGAGCTCGTTGATACCCTCGTGCCATTTCACGTGCGCCGCGGCGTCGTGGCCAGGGTGACGTAGAGCTCTGGGGCGCTTGATTCCAGTCATGAAAGGGCTGGGTGGGCAGGAGGCGTTCGATGCGACCGAGCAGCAGCTTGTCCAACCACAGCGCAGTACTTTTTCGAGGGCACTTTTGAGGGTCGTCGACGAGATATCTCACAGCGGCGCAGTCGGTTGCCGTGAGTCGTCGCTCGTGCATCGCGCCATGGATCCAGAAGTTGCGAAGACGCATGCAGCTGCCGAATCGGAATTCCTTCGTTTTTTTTCAGCGTTTTGGATCTCGTGAACAACAAATTCGAATACGTTGTTGCAGCGGCGACTGGCGGTCGTGAGCTCTGTCAGACGGGGAAAATTCTTGGCGGGATCGTGCACGAATTGGCCCGCGGAGTCCCCAGCCGACCCAGTGGAACGGAACAGTTCCAAATGGGCGGGTGTTGGGAAGGAGAAGACTTGGTGGAATGCGACCGCCCACTTGCCGCTGCTGCAGCAGAGCGTGGGCGTTTCGGCATGGAAGAGGGAGGCTGAGCACTGTGGGCGGGTTCGGTTCCATGTGTCCGACGGAGAAGGCACGTTTTGAAAGGGCGGTCGGCCCACGACGCTGCAATCGCAGCAGACGCTGTCATGCGAGCTGTCGCGGTCGGTGGCGAAGGCATCTCTATGGCAAAGAGCCCGCAACGAACGCAACGCACTTCTGATCAGCGCCGGGAGAGGCCAGAAGTCTGCGGGGCACCAGCGGTGCAAGCGATGCATACGCGGGAGGCTCGTTTGCGCTGGTCGACGCTGAAGTCCAGCCGCGGGACGTCCTGATCGCGGCGAGCGCCATGCAGCGTATCTGCCCTGGGACGTCCGGGGGAGGCCGGCCACTTGCGCACGGCGGAAGAATCCACATTACCCGCGCTGCACGCCGGAATAACAGGGCACGTGTAAAGAAAACCAAAAATGGAAACGGCTGTTGTTGCAGACAGACGTGGAAGGCCCTCGGTCTGGGCGTTGAGAGTAGCAGGTGTGCTGAGCAGAGCATGCGCGGCAAAGCGGCGGGCGGTGGACATCGTCCGCCATTTCAGGCGGCATCTGTCGAGAGTGGACATCAGCAGAAGCCTGGAGCCAAAGCCTACGGAAGAGTCCAAACATGAAGCAAACACCTTGCGAAAATGTTTGGGTCTGGCCTTTCCAGGTCTCTTGGGTGGCCTCGCGGGGCCGTTCTGGGGTGTTTTCGAACGTTATTAGGCCGTCCTGGAACCGTTCTGGTCCGTCTTGGGGGGCTCTGGTTGTCTAGAGGTCCCCTTCGGGGCTTGTGGGGGCCGTCTTCAGGCTCGTTGGGGCCGTTTTGGGTTGCTTTTTGGGTGCATTGTGAGCCGCGTTGAGGAGATGTTCTGCGGTTGTTGGGCCGCGTCTTGGCGTGTCCCCGGGCCGTGTCCGATCGGCCCTGGGATCACTAGGTGTGGGCCATCGGGGGGGGTACCAGCCTGGAACATATCCCTATCCCTATGCTGGGCATCTCTTCATCACGATGCCAATCTTAGGGGCTCCCTTATCTTATTCTTTTGAGGGCGCAGCCCTAAGATTGTCATCGTTTTTTTGCGTGTCAATCTTAGGGATAGGGATAACTTCGAGGCTGGTAA